TGATATAAAATCATTGTAATCCATTAATTATTCAAGAAGAAAATTAGAATTAACAATATTGTAAATTCATACTTGATGGTCTTCTATTTCAATCATCCAGTCTTCCTCCGTCCAAAAATCCACCTTCATGTCTCCACTGTAACCTTTACATTTCAGATTAGCGTGTCTCCTTATATACGTTGATTGTTGTTCAACCAACGCTACTGTGTTTACAACGAATATACTTCGTTTTCCACCTTTTTGATAAGGTCTAAATGTAAAAGAAACTTTTAAAGCCATTGTATACATAATGCCAACACAAGTACCTATTGTGATGATTGAAGAAAGACCAAAATCATATCACACAGAAAAAGAAATATTTCCATGAAGAGCTACATACTTGCGTAAATCACGACTTAGATGTTTCAGAAGCATAACAGCTATGTACGTTTTGCCCGTGCCAGTTGGTAAATACAGTATTATGTTGTCTTGCACTGCCCTTTCATATAGATCTATTTGATATGCTCGCCGTGTAAACACAGTTTCCTTTTTCGAAATGATTTCCGGCTCCATTGTTTTGTGTCAATTATGATCAATCGCTGGTGTTATAAAACAGCTAGAAAAAGACATGTTCAAATTTGTATTATTCATTGATAATATCTAGGCATTTGAAAGATTGATTAGCATTAACAACTATATATGCTTCTTAACCATCAAATAACGGATTGTCGAACTGTCCACAGCAAATACCATGTTTATTTGTATCTGTAGTACGATATTTCTATGTATCGAATTTTCATCCTGCTATACTTATAAAAATTTCTTTTTTTTTAAATATTAATATATTACAATTAAAAAAAATTAAAACACAAATATCTATTTTATTTCAAAGCAAAAAATATGTACATCAAATATTTAAAATTTGTTGTAACAGTGAATATATAGTAAAAACGAAGTAAATAAACCATAAAATTAATATAATGGAGAAAAATAGTAGTATCACAAGTTACTCCACTACGGAGCTAACCCATAACATCGAATGTTATTAAATCTTGTTATTTTTGCCATCATATTAGAGTTTATTTAATCTGTTTTTACAAAAACTTAGAAATTTCTCGATCGATTCAGTCGTTAGTCGGATCCGATAAAGATGCTCGCAACTCGTCAGTTATCATAAAGACGCACTACTGATAGTACACGATCCATGAATCATGACGGAATTCCGCCATATACAAGGCTAACACGGCCGGTCTCGGGCGTCACATGACATACAAAATGCGCATTGTTGTGCACTTGAGAGTGAGACTGCCTGTCTCCTGAATCTCCAGGATGCTTTAGGAGGTCGATTGTGTATTTTGAAATGAGATAAAAATTACAAAAGTGAGTAAATTCACTAAACATTGACCAATTAAATTACGAATATTCGAGTGAATCTGCTCTTTTGTATTTTTTATTTCAAGATACATAATCAACTCCCTGTCAATTAGCCCATTTGTCGCGGCAAAAAAAGTCCTTAATTTTATTTATCTAATCTATCACAGCATCGTTATAACAGATTAAAACTTTTAATTAAAACATGAATATATTTTGACTAAGTATTAATTATCTAAAATATAGAGCGAATAATTTGCGCTTGCTTTAAATACATCGTAGAGTGAGCACGTACTGCTAAATGCCGGCTATCGCTGACAGAATCGCAATTTAATTGGACTGTTAATGACGATCGAAATTTCACGAGCTTTTTCAAAATTCTCTCTTAATCCTTAGATCCTTACCTTACTGACAATTTGTTGTGCGACACAAAATCATTTACATGAATAAATCAATAACTCCAAATTCCGGAAATAATTAAAACCAATATTACAGCTCTCACTGATCAACTAATACAATCCATCATCCAGTTACATCATTCGATGAAAGATCCTTTGTTAAAACGGGGGAAAACCGTCAACCGTATGCTGATAAACCCCTTCCCTAATGATTCCAGGCGCTGATATCAATCTACGTCAAGTGTCATTTCGTCATTCTGATTGGTTGAAGGCTAGGGAACTTCTTTGAAAAAAATGTGAAGGCTTTCTCATCAGCCAATCTGTGCGAGCAACGTGTTTAATTGTAAAAAAAAGTACGTATGAAATTTCGAACAAACTCCCAATTTAACACGTCAAGATAATAGCCTCAATATTTATTTTAATGGAAAACATCATCGAGAACATATTTTTAATATTATGTAGCTGCAGGTCGTATATAGACTGCGTTCCACTTAACGCTCGTGGAATTATTTCATTCTTGTCGTTTATCAAATATTAAACAAGGACAAACGATGCTCGCGAACGTTGCGAGCGTTAAGTGGAACGCAGTCATATTATACTACTATAATATACATTGACTCTTAAAATTTTTAAATAAAAAGTGGATATTTATTCTGTTTTCTTTTAGACACGGAGTGGACACAGATGTCATTTTATTTATTGAACGCCAAGAAAAATAGCACGACGTTTAGGTCGACCGTTGGTGCTTTAATTTCTAGCAAGCGACACAAAGGGCCTGTTCTTTTTGGCTGAACTTTGCACCAGCTCATCTTTCTTCCTTTTCTCTCCAGGAGGAAAAAATGGTATCATATTGAATGCGCGCATTCAATACGGTGGCAAGATTTTAATCCAGCTAGCAATTTAGCAAGAAAACAAAGCATCGTGTGACGTCGGCTTTACTAAGTAAATCAATAATGCCTTATTATTTGCTAATGTTAAATGAAGATGACATGATTACTGTGTCACAATAAGCCTGTTCTTTTTGGCTGAACTTTTGCACCAGTTCATCTTCTTCTTTTTTCCTCCTGGAGAGAAAAGGAAGAACGATGGAGAAAAGGAAGAACTGGTGCAAAGTTCAGCCAAAAAGAACAGGGCACCTATCATGGAAAAAATCGGAATAGATTCCAATCGGAATTATTCAATTATTCCCTAGATTTCTATTGTGTTTTCTAGGGAAAACGGAATTATTCCGATCGGAATTCATTCCGACATGTTCCATAATAAGTACCCAGGCCTATTGTGTCGCTTGCTGGAAATTAAAGCACCAACAGTCGACCTAAATGTCGTGCTATTTTTCTTGGCGTTCAATAAATAACAAAAATAAAATGACATCTGTGTTGACTCCGTGTCTAAGGGTGAAATCACACGGTGTGGAAAAAGACTGCGGAATAGAGAATGCGTCATTGAAGCAACCAATCAACGCTATTCAGCGCTATTCGGAATAGCGCTGATTGGTTGCTTCAATGACGCATTCTCTATTCCGCAGTCTTTTTCCGCACCGTGTGATTTCACCCTAAAAGAAAATAGAATAAATATGGTGCTGACATTTGGTCCGAGGTTTGTTCACAGCTCTAACATGCTCCAACATGCTCCTACCATATCTCTTACTCACTCTACCAAGCGCGTAGGAGTGAGTAAGAGCTATGGTAGAAGCATATTGGAACATGTTGGAGCATGCGACGCGAACAAACCTCTAGTTTCCACCGAGGGTTCAAACCGGGACAGAATGCAAGAACCAATGAGTGCATTAAGTACTATACCGCTCAGTGAGAGCTTACATCTTATTGGCATATTCCGTTAGAACTAAAAATATAGACTAAACAGATACAATGGGCGAGTTCAAGACGGCAAAGCGGCTAGACATGCTTACCGAGCGATTGAATATGATTGGTTGGATCTATAAGTAACAACCAATTATATTCATTTGCTTGGCGAGCAGGCTAGCCGCTTTGTCAACTTGAACGCGCCTAAT